TGTAATTTGTAGTTAACTCGTAACAAAATAAGTTGAAGTAGAATAATACACGAACAATGAACATATAAGTTGAACTTTAAACTGGTCAACTGTATCTATAACATAATATTATAGGTACCTACACAGCTATATTTATTCCAGCGGAAATCGCGCATTATCTCAACGGACAACGGTTTTTATATCTTAATCAATATAAAATCTATAAAAGGTTTATGAAAAATTATACATTTTATTACATGTAGGTACTAGGACCTACATACAATAAAAGTAAGTACAAGTCTTATCGATCATAATTATTAATTCATGATCTTAAATATTGATCACTATATGTTCTGCAGTGTTCAAATAATCGATATTTAGTGACCGTTGTAGTCTTGTGCGCGTCTTGTGTTACACCGTGTCAACTGTTAAAATGAATTTTGAAATTGTTTATAATGAACGAAAAAGATTAATCTTATATGAAAAATTTAAATGTTATAACAAAGCGTGAGTTAAATACTTAGACGCTAATAAATGGCAATGTGTCAATAAAAAGTGCACCGAATTTAAAAATACAAACTGATTCGTATATAATAATAAGAGGACTAAACAACAATAAAATAAGTAAAAATAAAAATTACCAAAAAAAAAAATGTGTAGCAAACATTTTTGACGATTATATAAATAAAAAAATTGATAGATTCACTTATATAAAACTAGCATCAAACCACTATTTAAAAAAATGACCACTTTGTATATTATATTTGTATTGTTTAATTTTTTTTTACCTTACCATAATACGGAATTATTATTATTAGTTAATTATTTAAAAATATGACGATCTTACTTCATTTTGTAAAACTGGATATAGGTACTAGATATATCATATATGAGTTATATTATTTTATTATTTTAATATATATTATTATTCGTTATGGACGACAATGTTTGAATTGTTCTTCTTCAAATAAAACTTAATTTATACTAAATTTATACCCTAACCTATACTGTTAATTATTTTAAAAATTAACTACATTATATTATATAACTCTATTTAAAAATATTACGATCTTACTTCATTTTTTTAAAATAATAATCACTAGATATTTGAGTTATATTATTTTAATAAATATTATCTGTTACGGACGACAACGTTTTTATTTAAAAAAAACTTGCTTTATACTAAGTGTACCCTAACCTATGCTGTTGATTAAAAAAAAAAAATCTCTATAATATGATATTTTGGTTATTGTTTAATAAACAGTCGGCGGAATCAACATAAATAAATAACTGGCGGAATCAATAATCGGCGGAATCAATATAAATAAATAACTGGCGGAATCAATATAAACAAAAATCCGGCGGAATCGATAGCCGGCGGAATTGATATTAAAACGGCGGAGTCGATAAAACTCCATTTTTTTTAATACCATACATAAGTACCTACCTATATAATATGACGTCTTATACCTAGACTGACACACCGTCTCCACTCAGAATCATTTTTCTTATACAATGGTCAATGATATTATGTCATTGAATTCAAATTTAATACCATCCATTATACAGTGACCCACTTGTACCTAACCCACTCTTTTATAATGTATTTGGATACGTCCGGACCTTTCCAGACGACTTGGAGTCTATAAAGCGACTGAACCTTATATCCGCGTGAGTCTTGTAAGCGGCGTCCAGTGTATAATAATTAATATAATATATTAATCGATATAACGTGGTGAATCTCACTTTCGCACATTTATTATCATAACACTTAAACACGTTTTCGCAGTATCTATAAATATTATAATATCATATTGTTTTACAATTCTTTCGGCAGCCTATATAATACTTTAGTAGTATATACTATAATAATATAGAGAATGTGATGATTTCTATCGCACAATACTTTGTGCCGTCTATTGACTTTTTATAATAATATTATATTTTAATTATTATTATCACCTGTTGAAGGGGGGGGGGGGGGCTTCAATATTTTTAGCGCCGGCTATCACATTTAAGGAAAATGTAGTCATTTTAATTTTAAATACCTACCATTTAATATAAGTCACAATAATGAATCAATGTATGTTTTTAAACATCAAAACAATTTTAATTATTATTAATACATATTTAAATGTCTATATTAATACCCATCTATTCATGTTTACCAAATTAATTTTGATTTATAAGTAACATACATCTTTAATTTTAACACCATATACTTTGATACTTTTAATATTACCTATTATGTAAATCTTAAGGGGCCTCTACACCAGCCCGTTTTTGATTGAAAATAACACATTCTAAATTTAACCATACTGTAAAATGCGTCATCCGACATAAGTTTTGAAAACGGATTTAGATTTTTCAATACTTGCTTGATGCATCGGTCGGAATAAATTTTAAATTTTTATTGTCAATATTATTTTTTAAACGATTACAAAAATTGTAACTTTTCAAGTCAAAATAATTAAATAATTAAAAATATTTTTTAAACTGTATCACGAGCGATGCCTTGGAAATGTTATTAAGAATTTATAAGTTTTTTCAAAACTTAAATCGGAGTATTTATAAGAGCGTACCGTTAAAAGTAGAATCGTGTCTTTAGGGCGAAATTTTTCTTTGCATTTATTTCGAACAAGCTGTTTGACATGTGCCTGCGAGTGCGTAAAGGGACCCCGCAAACCATTCTCAACAATCGCGTCGTTGTCCCCCGCCGCGGCACAAGCTAACCGACTTACTAACACTAATGTCCATTTACGAGTATACAATTACTAACAAATCCACAACAGTAGTTTAGAAATTGCCTATATAATGTTCCTTAATAAATGTCATTGTTGAGGCCCCTTAATTACTTACAATACCTATATATACCTATCATATTTTTTGAACCACTGAAAATAAATAATTGTATACTGCCTATCAATATTCGGCCTATTTCATTTCTTTTATTTGAAACACAATAGACTGTACCAATTTTCCGTGTACCTTTTGGGCCCAGGCGTGTCATTTCAATTTTTTGAAAGGTATATGCTAACAACTATAGGAAGGACAAAAAAAATGCCAATATATATTCTACTATTGAGTTATTACAAGAAAAATGCTTTCTTAAAATTAGAATCCTTATATTTTCCGTGTAATAATCTAATATATTATGAATATTGTATATCTAATAATTCTAACTACTTAGTTAGTACTTATTTATTCAAACTTAAATTTAAATATTTATAGACAGTAATTTGTGCCCAAAAAAATTAATATTTTTTTCAAAATAACTGGCCCCACTGAGAGAACTTGTGTGGGAGCCCATTAGTTCTAAATTACATTATAAGTACATAAATAGTGTACTTATAAAAATGTATAAAACAAAACATTGAAATCCTCAATTACACATAATATATCTTTTATAAACCAAACATTTTTATATTTTATTTGAATAATTTCATAATAAATTAATCAAAATATCACATACCTAGCCATAGTTGGGAACGTTACAGCGACATATTTTGTTGTCTCTGTCTTACAAGTGCTTAAAATAGCAACTTTTACGATCAGCCGAACACATTTATCTCCGTTAGTTTAAAAATCAGCTCAAATTGACCACTTATGAAATTTAAAGGTAAGACTAAAGAGCGTAAAAGTTGCTATGTTCCGCACTTGTAAGACGGAGACAACAATTAATGTCACTGTAAAGGCCATTAAGACCGATTAAAAAAAAAAAATAAAAATATTTTTGCCTGGTGCAGAAAAATTATAGTCCAAAATTTGATACATTATAGGTATGCATACCCTGCAACACCTCAAATTATGCCCCTGCTTTGGCCCCATTATCGACTTTTATGCTTTACATAAACTTCATAGTATCAATATGTAACTATGAAATACTCATCTATTTTTTGTGTTGAAGTTTAGATTTCGAGGTTGAGTATTATAGTTTACAATAAAAAATATACCCAGGAACCTTCTACTTATCACATAAATTCTCAATATATTTTATTTTATTTTACACGATTAAAATCAAAATAGAAAATGTATAAACTAAAAAGAATAATTACCTATTTGATGATACCTATTTTCTTTTAAATACAGATACTTTAAGAAAGTATTTAAAATAATTCATCCAAGAACTTTTTTCAAAAGTATTGAAATTAAGTATTTCAATAATTTTACTCAAGTACTTTACTTGACTGACTCCGAGGTACCTATATGAAAAATTATTGAGCAGGATGCAGAATGTTTTGACTGCAGGTTGGGAAACGTCATCATAATTGCAATCGTTGTTATTGGACCAATTATGTACACTGAAATGTTACTATCGTATTGTATACTATATTGTTATCATACAGTATATTTTATTATTCGTTAATTGTTGGTTTCATAATATTATAATATAGGTCATACCCACGTTATCAAATAATATTGTTATAGACACTATAGTTGTTACTTATAGTGTCATAATGGAGTAAAACACAAACTCCAAATTATATTATGTAACAATTAATATTTAAAAAAGAAGATACTTCACTTGTATATATTATATAAGGTGGTATAGGTCAGTGGCGTAATTATGAATTTTTCATAATGGCGGGGAGGGGTAACATAATTTCCGCAACACGAGGCTACATTTATAATATGATCCAGTAAAAAATTTAATATCGTTTTATAGTTAATTCACTAAGTACATAATCGCTAGGTACTATAGTACTATAGTTATATTTTGATTTATTTAACATATATTTAATTAAGCTATTTACGGTTATTTTTAATTGATCGATATAAATAAATAAACAAATAAAATAAATAAATAACTTTTATAATATTTGCTTGGCCCCATTTTCTTATTATTAGTATTATTATTATTATTTGAAATTGTTAGATTGTGTAGTACTTCATAGCAGAGTGGTGCAGCTGTTATATTCCAATTTTCTATTGAGACTGTAGTCTTGTACATTTGTAACAATTCTAGTACAATTCCATTTGACCACCAAAAACCATTTTGTATTGTATAAGCTCTCCTGAACTTAATCCTTTTTGACTGGCTTTATGAACTCGGTTCTGTCAAAACATATTTTAGAAGCTATTTCAGACACCAGTATTTTAGCATCTTTGTGTCCTGTGTTTTCCAAAAGCATAACTGCTATGTACTGAAGTAAGGGCCATGAATTTGACTGATCCCACTGTTCTTTGGTTGTTCTCAGGGTGGTTGGTATACCCCCATCTTTCTTCAGTATTTCAGTCTCATTCATACAGTTAAGAACCCTTTTGACGAAGTAATCAGTTTTGTTTTGTTCATAACAGCCAGTCCATAGCGGTGATATATTTGTAGGGTAAAAATATTTTCACTCCGACCGCCTCATCCCGCTGGACTGGCTGTTACGAACAAAAAAAAACCGATTACTTCGTTACAAGGGTTCTTAACTATATGAATAAAACAGAAATACTGAAGACAGATGGGGGTATACCAACCATCCTGAGAACAACCAAAGAACAGTGGGATCAGCCAAATGCATGGCCCCCCCTTCAATACATAGCAGTTATGCCTTTGGAAAACACTGGACATAAAAATGCTAAAATAATTGTGTCTGAAATAGCTTCTAAATGTTTTGACAGAACCGAGTTCATAAAGCCAGCCAAAAAGGATTAAGCTCAGGAGAGTACACAATACAAGATGGTTTTTGGTGGTCAAATGGAATTGTACTAGAATTGTTACAAATGTACAAGACTACAGCCTCAATAAACAACTGGAATATAACAGCACCACTCTGCTATGAAGTAGGTACTATAAAATCTAATAATTTCAAAGAATAATAATAATACTAATAACAATAATACGAAAATGATGGCAAGCAAAATATTATAAAAGTTTTTTATTTTTTTTTTTTTATATCAATCAATTAAAAATAACCTAAAATAGCTTAATAGATATATAAATTATATTACATATATTTATATGTTAAATAAATCAAAATATACTAGTACCTAGCGATTATGTACTTAGTGAATTAACTATAAAACTATATTAAATTTTTACCGGATCATATTATAAATGTAGCCTTGTGTTGCGGAAATTATACCACAATTTAATAAGACTATTGATGTTAAATTTATTAGTATTTATAATCAATAAAACACAACCTGCAGAAAAAACAACGTAAAATATTACATGTACATTTAGTGTAGAATATTAAAAAGTAATAATATCACATATTGGTTGTTGACATTTAATTATTTATGAAATGTAATGACACAACAGCTGTAGTGTAGTTACATATCAATGATATCAAATACAATTTGTTAAACTTAAATACGAAAAAGGTGCAACCATAGATAAATACCTACATTAAAATTATATACGAAAAAATGCATTACAATTTCTTTTGTTAATGATGAAATAATAAACTTAAATAACTAAAACATAAGTCAAGATTATTATGAATTCATATGTATTAATTTATAATCTGTTAAAATATTACAAATATTAAAAGATATAAATTTTACTTTGAAAAAATAAAATATCAAAAATCTTTAACATTTAAATATTTAATTACTGAAATGTATTGCTACTGCCTTCTACAGCAAGCAATATCTTTATTAATTTATTTTTAAGGCCAGCTGATAATTTTATTTCAAGAAGCATCTGTTTTCATGTACCTATATATTGCTGATAATCTTATTGTTCTGAAATATTTGGCACTTCTGATCTTAGTTTATGATAAAGCCAGACATTTTTATAAGCATTCTTTAAGAAGTCTAAATGCCCCAGCGTGGGTATACAAACTTTTATAGTTTTATCCCATAGCTAGTTTATCCATATGATGAAGACATATTATGTGTCAAGCCTTTGGATAATTGGCACTTAAGACTTAAGAGTTTGAAGTAAGCTCTTAAAAACGGTTGTTCTCGGAGTAAAATTGCTACATAAAAACGGGGGTTAGCAGGATTAAATAAGTATAATAACCGGAACCATAATAAAAACAAAATCTCAGTTTGGAGAGTGAGTGTATTTTAACTAGTATATTACTTGGCTGCCATCTTGAATTCTATTCAGCCCATATTGATGGATACATCAACACTTAATACGTTAAAACATACGTTAACACTCTAAAAAAATAATAAATAGTACAATATTTTTTAAGAAATCTTAAATATATTGATACCTATAGATTATGGGTACCCTACTTGTCATAATTCTTAATATTATAAAATGGTTAATGCACGAGAAGACATAGCTGCAAATAACATAAAACAGAATGATAAAATACTAAAATCCAACTGTATTGTTGAATGAAATATGGAAATACATGCCTGTAAACAGGACTCACTTGGTTTTGACTTCCAACTTCCAACGGCGCTCGATTCCAGCATTTCGCGTATGAACAAATATAGTCGAGAGACGGAAATCCAGACCAAGGTAGTAGTTGTTGTGTAATAATCGAGTAAACCCTTCCTTCTTTAGGTTATCATCACGGTGACAAGGTTGTTCCAAAGTGGTTATCGTTATTTAGACAGGTAAAAGGATTTTCGCTAACAGACACCATTCATAAATAAATTACTCGGTAGAGTATTCAAATTTTCACAGTTAATAAATAAGCATTTTATCTAGTATATACCTAGTGGTTTACTTTATTCGATAGCTCAACTCAGTAATTTTATACTGTAAAATAAAAAAAACTATAAAACCATTCATTTTTGGCAGATTAATAGTTTAATTGTTTATAGTATAATTATTGTAGGTAGGTTACCCTAACCTAACCTAACCTAACCTAACTATAGAAAAAATAAAACTCTAAATCATACACAAAAATATAAAATTAAATTTATGAATGCTGCAAATTTGAATTTTCTACTATAATAAATGTACATAATATACTGAATGGTGTCAGTTCTAGGTTCCTTTCATTGTGACTATAAAATTAGTATGGACGATTGGCGTCCTCCATTATGCCTCAAAAATGTAAAAATTATTATTATAACCATACACATACGACATACCTACATTTGGTTCGGAACAATCGAAGCCAAAAGTTTTGAGCTCCATCTTCCCCTAGTATTATCCTTATTATCCTCGTAATGTCTTTATTCAACAGGTAGTTGTGTATAAATTTCCACACCACTTTGCGAAAAACGACAACATTGGAATAATGAAGTCCGTTTAAATGCATGAGGTATTATACATGGCGCGTATTTTTTATTGTGGTATCCCCGTTAAGGCCTAATCCACAAGTACAAACAAAGTTTTAAAATTAGTTATAAAACAAAATTTTATCCACACTTTCACCACAAAGTTACTTACTGTTAATGATTAATGGTGGATACATTTTTGTTTTTAATGTATCTATATTAGAATTGTTTAATAGGAATGTGTTTTGACGAAGGACAGTCAACGGATAGGTAATTTTTGATTTCACCAAAAAGTTAAGGACAAAAATTTGGATTTTGTTATTTACAAATTCTTCATATGATATATAATTTTGTATGTATTTCTTGTGGTGAGTTCGATTCTGTAGTTAACTGTTTAATAATAATAATAAATTAACACGAACAATATTACAATCAATCACAGGTAAATTCAATAATTATTTTCTCGAAAATAAAATCCAATAAAATCTTATTATACCTAATATATAATATAAATGATTACTTTATTAGTATATAAGATAAATCGAAATATAGCAAATACCTATTTTCATTATATATTTATATATAACATAATAAGTCGTTGTATAAATCATTTTAGATTTCGACAATATTCTCGGGTAAGAAAACTTTGTTTAGCAAGATTTTTCTTGAATTCCAGGATCCTTTAACACCATAATATTATAATTTTTTATAAGTTTATGATCTACTTCATCGGTTCTTAACTTTTTGTAGATCACGGACAACTGTCCCCTGATGAAAGGATTTTAGAAATCGCTGACCCCCTTACCAAATTTTTTACGAATACCTTTTTTTTACAAAACATCTTATGTTATCATAACCAAAATGATAATAATTATTTTATATTACAAATTACATAATTAGACATAACAAAACATACACATGTATAGTTATTTTTCTACAATTAATTTTTTGCAAAATTGTAATATAAAACTATAATTGAGTACGATCGATGAACTGCACTTAGTGGCAGTAAATATAAGACTACCGATACTACAGTGCTCTACTCTTGTACATTTCGTATGAAACTGATTAGGTACTTAAAAAATATTAAAAATACAATTATTTGATATAGAATCTACATATTATTATATATGAAAATAAAATAATAATAATCCAACAATATTGTAATAATAATGCACTCGACATGTCAGTCATTGACGTATGTTATGAGCTAAACCTGCCGCGGACAATATTTAGTCTTAGTAGTTATTACCAATGTACCATAATACATTTATATGTATTTATAAGGGGATCAACGCGTATTACTCAGAGAGTTATAATGGCTAATTGAGTATACAAAAATTACGAATACGCAGGCACGCAGCCACCAGCCGGTATTATAAAAATTAATTTTTCAAATTTGTTTTTATTACTTTTTTTCGGGACTGTTGACTGTTGAGTATAATATTGATAGGGGCCTACCGGGAAAATCCCGATTCTTGAAAGTTAAAATTTCCGCAGTTGGCTGTTCCTACGTTATTGTACCTACGTTATTACCTACCCGTTCGTTCGTCTTATTCATACACCTTGCTTTATTCGTGAGTATAAAATTTATATAATAATTTATTTCATAATTATTGTTATATCATCAAAACGGACTTACTTTTTCATGCATTTTGGTGTAGTTATACTATGGAACGTAGTTTGTGAACAACCATTTAGTAGCTATATCAGACGCCATTATCTTAGCATCTTTGTGGCCTGTGTTTTCCAAAGCTATAACTGCTATGTACTGAAGTGGGGGCCATGAATTTGGCTGATCCCACTGTTCTTTGGTTGTCCTCATGGTGGTTGGTATACCCCCATCTGTCTTCAGTATTTCAGTCTTGTTCATACAGTTAAGAACCCTTGTAACGAAATAATCAGTTTTGTTTTCTTCGTAACAGCCAGTTCATATAGGAATGAAAAGAAATGCAATGGAAAGATACAGTGACGGAAGTTCTTTGGGATGAGGAAGTCGAAGAGTGGCTCGACTTTGATATGATAAATAGGGGTAGTGTTCAGTATTTCAGTCTCATACAGTTAAGAACCCTTGTAACGAAATAATCAGTTTTGTTTTTTTCCTAACAGCCAGTCCGTAGGGGTG